CGCGCCGGGCCGGATTGCCTTTCGCAAGACGTTCCGCTACCTCGGGATCGACCTCGTGATGGGCCAGGCCGTGGCCGCGCCGGTCGCTGAACGACGTCTTCATGTTTATCGGGATCGCCTCCAGGTGGTCAAACTGCTGCCCTACACCCAGCGCGGTGCCGGCGTCGCAGACGCCACGGCTGCACTCTGGTTCGATGGGGTCTATGCATATACGCGGTCACAGATGATTTCGGCATCCTCGTAGGCCGCTTCTGCTATCATGGGCAAGGCGAAGGCTGGGGCCACTCTGCGGCGCTCGCGGCCTCTGACTCACATTCTGGGACCCGGCATGCACCGCACTTATCTTGCTTGCGCGGCCATATTCTCTACGATACGCATGTATTACCACGTGGTGTTGGCCAACATCGTGCCTGCGGACGTGTGGACAGCTCTGTGGCACCAGCGTGAACGCCTTCAGTTTGGACCTTTTGCTCTTCTCCATCGTGCTTGTGCGACGCTGGATATAGATTGGTCTTCGGCAGCCACGTTTACTTGTGGCACTTTCACTTTCGATTTCTCGATCCGCGCTCAGCTTCTTCATCGGGCTGATCGAAGTGCCGCGCGCAGTCTCTGCAAGGCGGCCAAAGTTGACCCTCGTCTTCACGCTCTCCGTGCATTCTTGCGCAGGTGCGTCGCTGCCCAGGAGGCGGCCCGCCGCCCGAAGGATTTTGGAGGTCTGGAGCTTGGGCTCTCGGAGGACCGGGAGGCCCGAGAACGCATGTACGGAATGCAACTTCACTACGGCGGCCCGGCCTTGACGACGGGCGGCTTGTGGACGTCGCTCAAAATCTCTTACATACCATTCCAAGGGTGTGATGATTCATGTGCTCGTTGTGGCGCCGCTGTCGAGACAGTGACACATCGTTTGTGGGAGTGTCCTTGCAACTCTGCTGAGCGACGACTCCTTGATCATCAGGTACCAGGCAACGACTTTCCTCGTGGTCTTCCACCTTGTCTTGCCCGGTGCGGTCTCCTGCCGGCCCGTCTTGGAATCGATCCGGTCCCTGGCCTGGGGGAGGCGAAGGCAATTTCTTTTACGTGTGAACGCTATTGCAACTCTGGCCGTGGTGGCCCGACGCGAGGGCAAGCCGGTCCTCTTGGCCTTGGATCGACCGCGGGCGCTTCCAGTAGATGACATATACCGTGTCGCTCTTTCCCTTCTTCTTCGCCTCAAACGGCATGCAGGAGTGCAGGGCCCGGGAGCAGGAGGAGCACCTAGAGGATTTCATCTTCCGCCTCAACCTACTCCTGGTTCTTTCCAGGCGCCGGAGGTCATCGCGATCTCCTGCGACGGCTCCGCGCAGCAGTCCTCCGACGAGGCGACCTCTGGCTGGGGCTTCACCGTGGCCGTGCCGGCTTCGAACGGGCTCTTGGACTTCTGCGGCCCCACAATATTGGATCCCGTACATCAGGGATATATCGGTGCCCAACATCACACGAATAACGTTGGTGAATTATCTGCGTTATACTTTTCATTATGTTGGATTCATGAGTTTATTACTTCATCATCTTTTTCACCATCGCTTGTGGTCGAGTACGACTCGGCGTGCGCCGCCGGCGTGGCGCAGCGGCGCACCCGAGCATGGGCGAACCTTCAGCTTGTTCTGCGGCTTCGCCACATCTATGATCAGGTCGCTTGTCGTATTGTCTTCAGGAAGGTCGAAAGCCATGCTGGGCAATATTTGAACGAGCGTGCTGATCACCTGGCCGACTGCGGTGCCAGTGGAATCATGCGTGACCCGGTTGATGTACATCGCTGGGCGAGCTTTTCGAGTTAATCTGTGGCTGTACGAGGTCAGGCAGCCCCTGATCATTTTCAACATACGCTTCTGGAGACGCCAGACCGCCCCAGAGAGCTCCAAGACGCCCCCAGAAGCTCCCCGTGAGCCTCCAAAACCCTTCCAGGACGGCCCAAATGCCCCAACAGGGCCAAAGATGGGCCCAAGAGGGCAAATAGACGGCCCAATAGACTTCCAAACGGCTCCAAGAGAGTTCTGAGAAGCGTTCCGGATGGCCCGACGAAACCAAAATCGTTGATGTTCATTGGGTTTTGCGATGGTTTTTGGCTTTCTCGCTTTTCCAGCTTTCCGACGCTCCAAGACGGCCCTGGAGGCCCCCAAGGGAGCCCGAAGACAGCCCAAGAGGACCCCAAGGGAGCCCCATGACGGCCTAAGAGAGCCCCAAGACGGCCCAGGAGGCCTCCAACTCCAAGACGGCCCAAGAGCCGCCCAAGACGGCGCAAGAGGCCCCCAAGACGGGGGGGATCCGAATGGACTTGTCGGACCCTCGGCCCCGAGAGGCCCCCAGGGGGCCCCCAAGCGGCCCCTGCAGGCTTCCAAGAACCACCCTCCAATAGACCCCCGAGAGGCCCCCAAGAGGCCCCACACAACCCTCTGACCGGACGCCCTCGGGTACTTTTGCTGCTCCCGACGCTTCCGTCAACTCTTCGCTTCTTGAGGCCGTTCTCGGCCACCGGTGCCCCTGAACTGGCCCCGGTCCCACCAAAAAAGGATGGTGGCAACCCGACCCCGGGGCGGGCGCGCCGGCCTTTACAGGACAGCCCTGGATGGGTCCAGGTGGAGATGACTGCAGTTCGTGCGCGGATCGTGGTGCTACTGATGATTACGATGGTAGGCGCGGTGACACTAGCCGTGGTGGTGATGATGGTGGTCGTGGTGGTCGCGACAGTGGCAGTGGCAATGGTCGTGGTATTGGTGGTGGTACAGGCGGAGACTGAACGCATGGCCGTTGCAATGGTCGCGCAAAGTGCAATCGTCGTGGAAAAGGTGGTCATGCCCAGAATGGACATGGAATCGTAAGTGATCGTGAACGCGGTGATGGCGCAAAAAGAAGTCGTAGCCGTGGCGGCATTGCCAATGTTAAGAGTGGGCGCAAGTGTGACTAGAACCTAAGCGCGCGCGAAGCGCGCGCGTGTGGTTCTAGTACATATATACATACATATGTGTATATACATATCGTGCTTGTTGTTCGGGTCTTGGGGCTGTCTTTGCATGTGGGAGGGGTGGGGGGGGCGCATTGGTCGGGTTTGTGGCCATCTTGAGGCTTTCTGGGGGTGGTCCTAGGCCTCCTCACAAGACCCCACTCGGAGCCTCTGGGTACCTTCTTGAAACATTTTGGCGCTTCCCTCGGGGCCAGTCGGGACTGCCTTGAACTCCTCTTTGGGCTCTTCGCGAGGCTGTCCTTGGCCATCTTGGGACCAGGTTATGGCTTCTGTGGCCCACTTGCGGACGAGAGGACGAGAATGCCACCACCATTGACCAAGCAGTACCTGTTCGAGTTCCTGACTCTCGGGGACATCTTGGACCACCTTGCCTTGGAGCAGCTTAGGTGCAATGCTGGTGGGTCTTGGGGCCAAGCTGCAGGCCATTTGCGTGCCAACTTGGGGTATCTTTGGCCATATCGGACCATATTGAGGCCACCTGGTTTTTTTTTTTGTGGCTGTTGCTTCCGATCTGGCGTCGAAGGCGAATGACCTGGTGAAGCCTTGTTTTGGAGTCGTTGCGTATGTCCACGCAGAGCAGGCGTCGGATTTGTGGTGCTCAGCGCAGTGTCTCTTCAGCTCAGCTCCTCCTTCTCCACTGGGAAGCTGAACCAAAAACATCTTGAGGCCACCTGGGTGCCATGCGGAGTCTTATTTGGCACTCGTTTGAGCTCGCGGGGCTCTTCTGAGGACCTCCGGAGACCTCTTGTGGGCTCTGCGGCGGCGGCAGCATCACCATCTCGACATCGACGGGGATCGACTTGATATCTTGAAGCATCGGAGAGAGCGCCTTGGTATCTTGAAACATTGGAGAGAACGTTTTTTGTGTACACTTCCTTGGTGCAAAATCTCATCCGTTCTGGAACCAGCCCCGCCCGAATCCCCCCCCCTCATAGTCGTCGCCGCCGTCGCCGTCGTCGTCGTCGTCGTCGTCGTCGTCGTCGTCGTCGCCTATTAATTTCTAGAGAGCTGTGTGCTCTCGTCCCGACGCCGGCTACATGTTCTTTGAAAGCGAGGCTTCCGCTCGATATTTCTTCGCAATCCGAGACGCTCTGGCCAGAGATAATTACTCCCAAACTCAGGGACAGCGCTCTCGCTCGAAGCTTCCTCGCACCTCAGTCCAGTCTGTGACGGTCCAGCTACCACGGCAACGGCTTCCGCTCGATACTTCCTCACAGTTTTCTCTGAGACGCCCTGGCCAGGGAGGCCACCACACGCAGGGACAGCGCTTTCTCCCCAGACCTCGCGGTTCAATTAAGTTCGTAATGGCCCAGCTGCGACGACCACGGCTCCTGCTCGACGCTTCCTCACACTTTACTCCGAGACACCCTGGCCAGAGAGGCCCCCACAATCAGGAACGGCGCTCTCGCTCGAGACTGCCTCGCATCTCAATCGAAACTGTGAGTTACCTGCGGGCCTTGTTAGCTCCCATGATGGTCATGGCGGCGTGGTGCGCATGCAGAGTGCATTGCAGAAAGAGGGGGTTGGTTCACAGACATAGCGGGCGGGTGCGAGGGAGAGGGAGATACACATGAAGGTCAAGTCAGCTTGTGGGATCATATGTTCGCAAGGTAGTCGTCGTCGTTGTCGTCGTCCTCGTCGTCGTCGTTTGCCGGCGCAAGGGGGGATGGGGGGGAGCTCGACCTCCGCCCCACCACCTGGGCTTGTGAAGAGGTGGGTAGTACGAACCCTCCCCCCTGGACTTTCGAGGGGAGGGACCGTAACCCCTCCCCCGCCTTCGTCCCAGCGTACTCAGAAGACGTTCTTTCAAACATTGAGGGGTCCAGTCCGAGGGCGGCTACTTCTGTTTTGATTTGAACGTTCATGTTGGTCCAGGTTCATGCTGCATCCACGGTGTGACGCCATGGCGTGCTTGGGAGTTCTCTCAAAAGACAGAGTTGCTCGCAGTCTTGCTGATCTGTGGTAGTCAACGCCTGCGCTTCGCGAGCCAGCGAGCGAGGTGGCGTGCCTCCGACCAGAAGCAGCGTTCCCGCAGGCGTGCGCGGCTCCTTCGGCTGCTGCAGGATCGCCGCGCTCGCTGCCGCTTCCGAGGCTTCGTCGTGCTGTTGCTTCCGTTTCGGATGGCTCCTCCCTTGTCAGGGCTGGTGTCGTCTGCTCTGGCTGTGCAATCTTTCGGCACCGTGGGGGCCCCACAGATCTCGACCTCTTCCATGGGCTGTTTTTTCATGGATGGTTTTCTGATGGTCCATGGACTCGACAACGGACCAGGATCGCAGCAATCGATCCGCCAGAGATTTTCTGCCGCGCGTTCGCTTCTTCCACTTCTTGTTCTTCGACTGACGATGTCTCCATATCTCGTGGCAGCTGCACATTCTTGCCAGGGAGTGGAGGTTCGAACAAGCACGCATACAGTTTTATGTGAGCATCTGTGGACTCTTCTTGCATGAGTACGTATGCAAAGTGCCCGATCGAATTACCGGCATGCGCAGTTGACAGTAGCGCATGCGAGACTCACGCGTGCTGGAGCAAGCTATGAATGCCTTCCCCTCCTCTCTCAATCATCTGCCCTTAATCCATCGCTTCCTCTTCGGTCCTCGTCCTCCTCGTCGATCTTCTCTCCCAGGCCCCCGCCCGTTTCACCCGGCGATGCTTGCTCGTGAATCCTGAAAATGATGTTGCCATTTTCCATTTCACCTTGTTCTCCTCCTATTCGAAGTCTCCCAGGCCCCCCCTTACACTTCTCCCTCACACCTTGTTATCCTATTCGATCTCCTTGTTCTCCTCTCAAATGCCCCCCTCCCTCCCTCTCCTCGTTCTTTTCCTCCTTCTCGGCTTCCTTCTCGGTCTCCTCCTCTCCCTCCTCTTCTCTCAGGCTTCCCTTTTAAATCTCCTCTTCGAACTCCTCGTCTAGATCCTCCTCGATCTCTTCTCCTGGCCCACCTTCACGTTATCCCGTATCCTCCTCCTTATCCGCGAATTCCTCCTCGTCCCCGCTCTCTTCGCCATCTTCTCTTCCTATCCTCTTCGGCCTCACCGCCCAGCCCCCCCTCTCGATCTCCTCTCCCATGCCCATCATCCTGCTCTTTCTCCTCCTCCTCCACCTCGTCCTCCTCGATCTCCTCGATCCTTATCGATTCTTCTCGATCTCCTCGAAATCCCCTCGAATCCTCTCGACCGCCCGGCCGTGGAGGTCAGGAGGCTGAAGCTGCTCTGCCGGGACAGCCACCTGTCCGCGGAGGCCCTGGCCCGTCTGCCCCAGGCGGCCGCCGCCGGAGAAGAATGAAGGAGGAGCACGACGAGGAGGGATGACGGCGGGGATGGGGCCTGGGGGGAAGGTCGGAGGGGATAGGGGCTGGGCGAGGGGGGAGGGGGCAGGATGAGGGAGGAGGGAGGAAGGAGGGAAGGACGGAAGGAGGAGGGAGGGAGGGGGGAGGGAGGGGGGGGAGGGAGGGAGGGAGAGGAAGAGGAAGGAGGAGGAGGAGGAGGAGGAGGAGGAGGAGGAGGAGGAGGAGGAGGAGGAGGAGGAGGAGGAGTAGGCGCATGAGGGCGAGGAGGAGGAGGAGGAGGAGGAGAAGGAGTACCAGTGTAAGCCCAAGAGTCATCAACGATGTTGGAGTGAGCCCTCCCTCCAAGCTCCCTCTTCACAGGCTCCTACAACGGTTCATTTCTATTGATGGAACTGCCTCGTTGCAAGACACCCGTTTGAAGACCCTGAAGCATGCCAAAACATTGCTCTCGGGATTCTAACGCCGCGGATCAACCTGACTGTTGCGTCTTGACGATCCTGAAATCGTGTCAGAACGCCATTCCTAGGACTTCAACACAAAGCATCAACGTACCTGTTGCACCCGCATAATCCTGACTCTCTCCAGATCACCATTTCTTGTTCGTTGATGATGGGAATCCGTGTAACTCTTGCAGATGTTTAAAAGGAATGTGCGCGGGAGAGCCACATTATGAAAAGGAACCGCCCTTAATCCGTGAAGCTCTTCCAAAATTTTACAGCGAATGTGCGCCGCACCATGGCGAGAGCCACATTTTGAAAACCACTCACCCTCAACCCGTGAAGCTCTTGTATTTTTTAGAACGAATGTGCGCCGCGCTCAGGCGAGAGCTCCACTGTGAACACCACCCGCCCTCAGTCCTTGGAAGCTCTTACAATGTTTTAGAACGGATGTGCGCCGCGCTCGAGCGAGAGCCACATTTTGAGAACCGCCCGCCCTCAATTCGTGAAATTCTTGCAAATGTTTAAAGCGAATGTGAACCGCGCTATGGCGCGAGCCACGTTTTGGAAACCACCCGTCCTCCATCTGTGAAACCGTTGCCCATTTTAAAGCTTCAGAGCCATAAGTGGTGAGGAAGTCTCAGGCGAAACGCCTGGCCCGCCCTAAAAATTGGCCTCGGGGTGCGACAGGGGGAAGTTAGTTATAATGAAAAGGAATAGAGGAGCAGGAGGAGGGGGAGGGAGAGGGGGAGGCAGCTCCAGTGCATTCACAGGGGGGTCATTCTAGGATCGCTCCTCCCCCTCTTCTTCTTCCTCCTCCTCCGCCTCTTCCTCCTCCCCCTCCTTCTTCCTCCTTGTTCTTTCTCTCCTACCTTCCTTCTTTCCTCTTTCTCTTCCATCCTCCTTGCTCCACCTGCTGCCTCCTTCCTCCTCACCTGTCTCCCGCCGCCAGATTCCCCCTCCTTCCCCCCCTTCTCATCCTCCCCTTGAAACTGAAGGCACCAGAATCTAGAGATGCTGCCTTGCCCTCCTCTTCTTCCTACTGTCTCGCTCCTCGTCCTCCTCCTCATCTTTTTCACCTTCCTTCCTCTCCTCCTCTTCCTCCACTTGGAGTTGGGAGGTTGTCTGCCGCACCACTGCGTCGGGAGGGATGGGTAGGATCGAGTATCCTGGATCGACGTTTTGGACGAGGGTCTCTCACTTTGGCTCTGTGGAGCTGCACTTGTATTTCGCACGTTTTCGCGCGGCGGTTTGGATTCTTGAGTATGCGTTCCTGTATCGGAGGTTGGGGGGTGAGATCGAAGTGGAGCCACCGGGAAATCTGTTTCGGTTTTGGGTTCGTGTCGTGCGTGCGGGCGAGGCGAAGCTGCGTGGGTGGGTGAGAGGGATGACCCTGCAGTGGCTAGGGCAGGTCAAGATACGTGGACCGCCCCTCCTCCCTCACTGGTGGGCGGGCGGTGGCCAGGTTGTCCCGCCGTGGTGTCCCGTCGTTGTCCGCCCCTCTCACGCGGTGGGCGGGCGGTGGCAGGGTTGTCTCGCCGTGGTGTCCTGTCGGTGTTCTGTTGGTGTTCCGTGGCTGGCCCGTCGTCGTCCCGTCGCTGATCCATCGCTGTCCCGTCGATGTCTCGATGGTGTCCCGTCGGTGTCCCGTCGGTGTCCTGTTGGTGTCCCGTCGATGTCCCGTCGGTTTCCCGTCGGTGTCCCGTGGTGAGACCGATAGTGAGATCTGTAGTAATATCGATTGAGTAAGATCAATCGTGATTCCGATGGTGAGATCGATAGTGAGATCGAGAATGAGATCGATTGGTGCCCCGATGGTGTCCCGATGATGTCCCGATGGTGTCCCGTGGTGTCCTGTCGGTGTCCCGTGGTGTCCCGTCGGTGTCCCGTCGGTGTCCCGTGGTTCGTTCTCGTCTCCACCAACCTCCTTATCACCCGAAGGGTGGTCGTGTAGGAGTGTATGTGTGTATGTGTGTATGTATGCCATGTATGTATGTCTGTCTGTCTGTCTGTATGCATGTATGTACGTATGTATGTATGTGTACATATGTAAGTACGGATGTACGCATATATCTATCTATGTATGTACGCATGTATGCATGCATGTGTGAATGGATGTATATACGTATGTATTGATGTATGTATGTGTGTATGTATGTATGTATGTATGCATGCATGCATGCATGCATGCATGCATGTATGTATGTATTTATGTATTTATGTATTTATGTATGTATGTATGTATGTATGTATGTATGTGTATATGCATATACGTATGTATGTGTATGTATGCATGCATGTATGAATGCATGTATGCATGCATGTATGCATGCATGTATGTATGTGCGTATACATGCGTGTACGCATGTATGTAGGTATAGGTATATGTGTATGTATGTATGCATGTATGTATGTATGCATGTATGTGTGTATGAGTATGTATGTATGTATGTATGTTTGTATGTATGAGTATATATGTAGGTATATGTGTATGCATGTTCGCAGGCGTGTAAGTAAGTCAGTATGTACGTGTGCATATGTGTATGCATGCATGCCTGCCTGCCTGCCTGTCTTTCTGCCTCCCTGCCTGTCTGTCTGCCGGTCTGTCTGTCTGTCTGTCTGTCTGTCTGTCTGTCTGTCTGTATGTATGTATGTATGTATGTATGTATGTATGTATAGACGTATGTATGCATGTATCATGCATGCATGTATGCATGTATGCATGTATGCATGCATGCATGTATGCATGCATGCAGGTGTATGAATGTATGTATATATGCATGCATGCATGCATGTATGTATGTGTGTGTGTATGTACGTATGTATGGATGCTTGCATGCATGTATGCATGAGTGTATATGTATGTATGTATGTATGCATGCATGCATGCATGCATGTAGGTAGGTAGGTAGGTAGGTAGGTAGGTAGGCATGTATGTTTATATGTATGTATGCATGTATGTATGCATGCATGCATGCAGGTATGTATGTATGTATGTATGTATGCATGCATGTATGCATGTATGTATGCATGTAGGTATGCAGGTATGCATATATTTATGTATGCATGCATGCATGCATGCATGCATGCATGCATGCATGTATGTATGTATGTATGTATGTATGTATGTATGTATGTATGTATGTATATGTATGTATGTATGTATATGTATGTTGTATATATATATATATATATATATATATATATATATATATATAAAGAGCGTGTTCTACCGCTGCTAGCGGAAAACCGGGGGGGGGGGTCACTACCTGTTCGAACCCCTCCCCCCCCCCTCCGGAAAACCGGGGGGGGTCACTACCGGTTCGAACCCCTCCCCCCCCCCAGTTCATCATGAAAGGGGGGGGGTCACTACTGGTTCGAACCCCCCCCCCCTCGAGCTCGAAAACCGGGGGGGGTCACTACCGGTTCGAACCCCCCCCCCCTCTAAAAAACCGAGGGGGGGTGCGGACAGTGGTGGGGACGGTGGTGGTGGGGACAGTGGTGAGGGGACAGCGGGACAGTGGTGGGGACAGTGGGACAGTGGCGGGGACGGTAGTGGTGGGGACAATGGTGAGGACAATGGTGGGAACAGTGGGGACAGTGGGACAGTGGTGGGGACGGTGGTGGTGGGGACAGTGGTGTGGGGACAGTGGGAATGTGGTGGAAACAGTAGGACAGTGGAGGGTACAGTGGTGGTGGGGACAGTGGTGAAGGCGGTGGCGAGGACGGCGGTGGGACAATGGGACAGAGGTACAGTGGGGACAGTGGTAGGGACAGTGGGGACAGTGGTGGGAACAGTGGGACAGCTCAGTGGTTCGAACTGGTAGTGACCCCCCCCTCCGGTTTTCGAGGGGGGAGGGGGGGGGTTCGAACCGGTAGTGACCCCCCCGGTTTTCGAGCTCGAGGGGGGGGGGGGGGCTAAGGGAGGGGGGGGGTTTTGTTTTGCCGGGGGAAGGGGGTGGGGAGGGGGGAGGGGGTCCAGCAGGGGGGGGGGGATTTTCGGAGGGGGGGGGGGGGCCCCCGGATTCCGGAGGAAAAGAGCGGCAATTTTCCACAGTGAAGCGGCGGTGGATCACGCTCTCTCGTATGTATGTATGTATGTATGTATGTATGTATGTATGTAATGTAATGTAATGTAATGTAATGTAATGTAATGTATGTACGTATGTATGTATGTATGCATATATGTATGTATGTATGCATGCATGCATGTCTGCATGCATGTATGTATGTATGTAATGTAATGTATTGTAGTGTAATGTAATGTAATGCAATGCAATGCAATGTAATGTAATGTAATGTAATGTGATGTGATGTAATGTAATGTAATGTAATGTAATGTACTGTAATGTACTGTACTGTACTGTAATGTAATGTAATGTAATGTAATGTACTGTACTGTACTGTAATGTAATGTAATGTAATGTGATGTAATGTAATGTAATCTAGTGTAATGTAATGTAATGTATGTATGTATGTGTGTGGTTATGTATGTATGTATGTATGTACGTACGTACGTATGTACGTATGTATGTCTGTCTGTTTGTCTGTCTGTCTGTCTGTCTGTCTGTCTTTATGCATGCATGCATGCATGCATGCATGTATGTATGTATGTATGTATGTATGTATGGATGGATGGATGGGTGGGTGGGTGGGTGGGTGGGTGGGTGGGTGGGTGGGTGGGTGGGTGGGTGTATGTATGTATGTATGTATGTATGTATGTATGTATATATGTGTGTGTATATGCGTGTGCATGCATGCATGTATGAGAGAGCGTGATCCACCGCCGGTTTACCGTGGAACATTTCCCCCCTCTTCCTGCTGAGCCCGGGGATACCCCCCCCTCCGAAAATCCTCCCCCCTGCTCGACCTGGTGAAGAGCGGCCATCGCGTGGTCTTCGAGCGGACCAGCACGGCAACGACATCAGCCACGCCGTCCACACCGAGAGCGGCAAGACGGTCCGCTTCACGCGGAGGCAGCGTATGTGGGACCTGGACGTGAACATCGTGCCAGCGAAGGAGGTCACCCGGATGTCCCAGACGCTCGTGAGGAAGTTGCCGCTCTGCTCGGTCGAGGGTTGCAGTGGCTGCGACAGGCTACACGGCAAGAAGCGTCTGTGCCCTTTCGGGCGGCAGGCGCGGCCGTAAGACCGGCGACGACGGCGCCAGCAGTTCGACCTCCTGCGTTGCATGGCGTCGCTTCTTTGACAGGAGTGGTACCTCATGGAGTTGATGACGGACAAGTTGCGACCATCGCGAGCCACTTTGGCCCGGTCGCAGGCGACCCTGTCCCGCCAGGTGGAGACGCCGTGGCAGGGGATGACGGAGTTGGTAATACAATCGAGCTCGAGGGTGACGCCGAGGAACGTCACGTGTTTCAACCCGCTCCAGTGCGAGCACGACGTGGGCCGAAGGAGCCTATTCAGGCAGAGCTCGAGCAACGCGAAGCAGCAGGTCACGTACCCTTCAGGGACTGGTGCTGCTGCTGCTTGGCTGGGCGTGGCCGTGCTGATGGTCACCCAGCGGACGCTCCTGGGAGAGCGCATGCGATATCTACGATTGCGGTGGACTGAAGCGGGAGGAGGTAGAGTCGGGCCAGTCCGTGCTTCCTGTCCTCGTCGGCATCGACTCGGCCACCTTGCGGGTCAGCGCCGACGTCCTCCCGTCCCAGGGCATCCAGCACGAGTGCAACGTGGTCCGCGCCTTCAGCCAGGTGGAGGCGACCGGCCGCCCGAATATCATCTACAAGTCTGATGGTGAGGGTGCCTTGGTGGCGCTCAAGCGAGAGGCGACGATCCGCCTCAGGAATGTGAAGATCGAGGCCGTTCCCGCGCCAGCCTACGACGGTGCCAGCAACGGCCTGGCAGAAGTGGCAGTGCGGGAGGTCAAGGGCGTCGCACGGTCTCTGAGAGTCGCCTTGTCCCTGCTGCACGGCGCAGACATCCCGAGCGACCATCCAGTGTTGACCTGGCTGGCAGCCCACGCTGCAGGATGCATCAACCGTGGCAAGATCGGCGCCGATGGGCGGACGCCGCGCGAGAGGCACAAGGGCAAGACCTTCCGCGAGGTGCTGCCGCCTTTCGGTGAGATCATCGCGTTCCTCCCGGGTGCGAGGCGCGACGCCAAGTTCGAGGAGCGCTGGCAGATCGGAGTCTTCTTGGGTGTCATCGAGAAGTCGAGCGAGATGCTCGTCGGCTACGACCGCAGAGTTGTGCGCGCGCGGTCGACCAGAAGGAAGCCGCCGAGCCAGCGGGCCGATGCGGCCCTGCTGCTTTCGACCAGGGACGCGCCGTGGGTGCCGACCCCAGACGAGCCAGAGAACGTTCGCATCCCGACGGTCATCGACGAACCTCCTGTCGACTCTGCTGTGCAGCAGCCGAGGGTTATGCCAGAGCAGGCCCCAGCCGAGCCTCGGAGCGTCTACATTCGCAGGAACGTGGAGCTGGCCAGGTACGGTTTCACAGATGGATGCCAGGGCTGCCACGCGGCCCGCGCCAACGCAGCAGCCGAGGCCCACAGCTCGGAGCGCCGTGAGCGCATCCAGCAGGCCATGGCGAACGACCCTGAGCTCGCGCCCCGCGTCTTCGGGGCAGCGGCTCGCCAGCTGGAGGCAGCTGACAGGGCGCCTGTGCGCCAGGAGGGCGAGGGCGCCGAGGCGCCGCCTCAAGCTGCCAGCCCGGCCGAGGCACCGATGGAGATCGAGCGACCTGGTCGACGAGCTGTTCCGCGTCGGGGCTCGCCCGCGGAGCTGCCGCAGGCATCGAGTCGCCGCCTCGCGGCGCCAGGCGGTCCAGCACCCCTCGCGCCCGCGATCAGCGGTGAGCAGCCGGGGGCGCCAGCGCAGGCGCCAGCCACGCCGCAGGCGCAGGCTGCGGGGCCGAGCGGGCTGCTTTAGGCGCCGCTTGGAGCTGGGGATGCCATGGGCGCGGATTCGCTGGAGCTCTGCGCGCTGCTGGCGGCTTTCGGCGACTGGAGGGTGGCCGTCAGCGAGCTGTATGGACCAGGGCGTTTCACGTCGCGGTCGAGTGCTTTCGACCTCGAGCCCGGCACAGCCTACGACATCAGGACCGGCTACGACTTCAGCCAGGAGGACGACAGGCAGCGGGCGCAGGCCACGATCGAGCTAGAGCAGCCGCTGCTGATCACCGGCAGCCCGACGTGCGCGCCGTGGTCGAACCTGCAGGCCCTCAACGTGGTCCAGGGTGTGGACGTCAACGCCATCGTTGAGCGAGGCATCGTCCACCTGGTCTTCTGTGCTGAGCTCTACAAGGGGCAGATCAAGGCTGGCCGCCTCTTCTTGCACGAGCAGCCAGCATCATCGAGGAGTTGGCGTCTCTGGATGATCCGAGAGATCGCCGAGATGCCTGGGGTACACTACGTCGAGTGTGATCAATGTGCGTATGGGTTGTGGTGCAACGATGCCATCAGCCCAGCGCCGGTCAAGAAGCCTACGGGGTGGTTGACCAACTCTGCCGATATTGTCCGGGAGCTGACGCGTCGGTGCCTTGGGTGTGTTCGGCATTGCCAGACGGTCGGCTTGGGTCGGCGCGGCATGCGCACCATCGAGCGGTACCCGGCCAAGCTTGTGGCTGCGGTGCTGCGTGGGCTGCGTCGGCTTTTTTCGTTGAAGGTCGCCCATGTCGAGGCGACGGATTTCGTGTGTGCAGGCATGCTTTCGTGGATGTTGCTTGTGGCGAGGCGAGTGACTTTTTCTTTTCAGCTTCGCTGGAGCAGCCCGAAGATCGCCTGGGTCGAGACTCGAGGGAGCTCGACGCGGCGGCGAGGAGGGCTGATCGGGTAGCTCTCGGATATGCATACCGTGACGTTTATTGTCTACCATTGCCATATCTTATTCGAGCTGAGAAACGGACATACCCCGTGTATCATCGAACCCCCCCCTCCAGAAAACCCCGGGGGGTGTCATTACCGGTTCGATAACCCCTCCCCCCTCCCCTCTACTCACCGCCGGCACACGACTCTGGGGTCCCCAGCACCGTCCGCACCACATCCCCCGCTGCTGTCTGTCCCACAGTCCCCACCACTGTCCAACTGTCCCCACTGTTCCCACCATTGTCCCCGCTGTCCCCACCATTGCCCCCACCAGTGTCTCAGTGCCCCCACTCTCCCCACCATAGTCCCACCAGGGTCCCAGTCTCCCCACGTTCCTCACGGTCCCCACCACTGTCCCACTGTCCCCACTGTTCCCACCATTGTCCCACTGTCCCCACTGTCCCCGCCGCTGTCCCACTGTGCTGTCCCGCTGTCCCCACTGTCC